GTACCTCTCTCAGCTCACGGATCTGTTCAGACAAGCCTCCGATCTCAGAGTAGGAGACACTGCCAGGGTCCTCGTGGGACATGTTGTACACCAGAGGGTCCACCTCTCTGGGCAGGTACCTTTGAAAGAACATAAAAGATGCTGAGCACACACCAAGCTGGATATATTTTTTGCTCTTTATCAAACCTCAATACACTTCCATCTTTTGTGGCACATTTATAGCTTGAGGGGTGTAACACTACACAAAGTTCACGTTTTAATACATGCTGCATTCATTCAATCACTGCTTGATATGATTATTTCTTATACACATAAACACTAAAAAGTGGTGTCGTGTAAATCTGCAAGAAGACGCTACTTTTTCATACAATTTCATATGGAGAGGACATGTGCCAAGACCACAAGTCCGGTGTTCATGTGTACTGTTAGATCCTTATTAGTCTGTGACACATTTTGGCCAATTCTAAGTGATGACTATATCCAGCCTACCTCATTATAGTGAGTGTAGTCATGTCCAAAGCCACTCTGGTGCCTGGCTTCAGCTGCGACTTGTCCAACTAGGATGGAAAGTATTAGAGATTAGGGTTCACATCCTAAACACTGAGGTCAACATTTACTGCAGAGACTACATTGAATTGGCAAATATAGAAGAATTTTGTTTTGCCCTAAATCAACTATTTTGTAGTTTGAAACACATAATAATAAAAACAAGATATATTTATTCCATTGATACAAATATCTATGAAGCATTAACAAATGTAGTGTGTACATAAATAATAAATGAATGAGTATGGACCAGAAAGGGCATCACAGGATGCCTGACACATCTGTTCAGCACCCACCTGTCTGCGGCATCCAACCACATATCGGGGGCCATTGGTGGCCTTGACAATGACTGAAATGAAACAAAAAACACATTTCTGTCACCTGTCTGAGCTAAGCACAGTTTAACATGTGTCACATGTCAGTCATTTCTCATTTATAGCCAAGCTTCAAGAGGTTGTTGGGAGAGAAGCAAGAGCAGAGGAAAGAGAGGACAGTATCCATATGTTACAATTTTAAGGCACCACATAAACTGAATCAATGTAAACTCAACGTGGAGAGCAAAACTAACTAAATGACTTTTCCCAGATCTAATGGTTGTTGTTGGTCCCCAGTGGACTTTTCTGGCAAGCTTTGTTTTTAAGCTTTTTTGTTGTTTATGTATTATCTGTTATAGGGTTCCAACTTTTCAACTACTAATTTGAATCATCAACTTTTCAGGGGCAGTCCTACAGCTGGGCTCACCAGGTAAATTCCTGACACTTGTAAATGGGAGACATCTGCCAATGAACTTACATTTCTCCTCTGTCAGCTGTTTGAGCACTTCTCCAACAATCTGCAGGGAATGAGGCACAAATGTAGTTAGTAAAGACAAAATAAAATCAAAGTGATTGTATATCAATTATGCATTTAATACCATCCTCACCAATGTGAGAAATTTTATAAAACCAATTTGTTTCTCCTCCAAGGACAATGTTTTTTTTTTAACCGGCGGCTGTGGCTCAGAGGAAGAGCGGGTCGTCCTCTAATCGGAAGGTTGTTGGTTCGATCCCTGGCTCCTACTAGCAAGATATTGAACCCTAATTTGCTCCAGATGCTGTGCATCGGTGTGAATGATTAGTTTCTGTTCGATGGGCTTTGCCACTGTGTGAATGTGTGTGAATGTGTGTGAAAGGGTGAATGTGGCACGTAGTGTATGTTGTTTTACTTTACTTATTAAATACAATAATAGTAGTTTCTTTATTATATTAAGAAATATAATCACTGCAATATTATCAATATTGAACCACAATTCAAAAGCAATGTCGGATTTACATTAGTTAATTTTCAGTAAATTTTTATTTCTTACTTTTGTCCGCTTTAAGTTATTTCAGTGACCATTGTGGGTTTTNACAATTTTGTCCACGTGTGTATATAAACACATACGCATATAACGTTACACATGTACATACATATAAATATACATATATATATATAAAACAACTGAGAAATGTCTCAAAATGCCAGATTCGCCTCACTTTGCTGTTGTTTTATAAAAAAACACTTTAATCTTCCTCAAAACTTTAGTTGTCGACTCACAAGCCTGCTGATGGGCACAAGATAAATTCCGGGACCCACAGGTTTTTTATAAAAATCCCAATGCAGCCCTCTACTGCTGAGATTAACCTACTCAGTTACAATGGTCAGTTATACTCTTTGAGCAATCAGCTCTTTCTCTTCACTGCCTATACTTGTGTTGATCTACAAAATTCAACTTCAGTTTACAGTTGCAGCCACTTGATTTCATCCACGAGCCCCAAAGAGCTCAAATATAAATAGATAAGACAGTAAGTATTCTTACCTGACCAACACTTTGCAGAGCCTTTAGGTCATTCTCTGATTTCTCGTACTGTTTAGTTTGTTCTCTCAGCTGCTCTCTCACTGGAAAACAAGCAAGAAACAGATCCACAATATAACGGTGCTGTTTCTTTTCCTCATCAAACACAGCCAAGAAGATATTTGTTAACACAAAGTGTACAAACTCAGTGTTAAATCCTTTTTTAATGTAACGTTAGCTGTCAGTTAGCTACTGATACGGTTAGCATAAGACAAAAATACAATATGTAATATACGTTAGCTATATGCTAAAGTAATGGTTACACTGGTAAAGCGAACGTTAGCTGACGTTTAGAAGTTATCAAACAACTTACTGTAAGACATAGCATTACCTTATTGTTTGTTTACTAAGTTATACTCCTTCGCTAAGATAGCACAGCTAGCTAACCGGTTGACTTCCATTCATTTCAACGAGAATGCTAACTGCATGACAAAGCACTAACGTTAAGTAGCTGGCCAGCTAGCTAGCTATCCAGCTGGTGCAGGTTATCCAATAATATGTATCTACTTAAAAAAACAAGATGTATTTCAGCCACACCACAAACGTCCACTTTAAATGGTCTCTTACGTTCTTTTAACCGCCCGTCAACTTCTTTGTGTTCGAGTAATTTTTTCCTGTAGTCCTGCAGCGCTTTCTCCCTGGTGTCCGCCATGATGCCCAACTGAATGCTGGGAAACTGCAGCGTCACTACAGTGTTTACCACAGCGTTCTGACAGCGGCCATAAAATTATGTTTAAATATGTCAGTGACAAAGTAGAGTACATTTTCATTGCATAGTGATTTTAACATGTACATTTTCAAAAGATATTTAGACCCTTTCTCAACAATATAGTTTAAACCATTTAGTTTATGGGAAAAGTATTTTGATAACAATAAAACTACTGCAAAATGTTTGTTTTCCCGTCAGTTCTGTAGTTACACTTTCTTTTCAAAAAAATCTTAAACAAATATATCAGGTCAAACTTTCAAACAGAAATATTTGTCCCTTCAAACAAAAGTTGTTTTTTTTTAAGCTTTGCTAACTTGTGAAAATAGTTCATTTGTATCCACTGAAGTTTATTGTCATAAAGAAAAGTGTTGTTTGGTAAGATGCTTCATAATTTGATTAAATCACATTATTTACTCATTGTGTATATGTAAAGATGTGTAATAACACTGTGTACACTACTGCTCAAAAGTATGGGGTCACATGTGATGTCATGGGGGAGGAGCTGGACACTCTGACGACCGTGGCAGAGAGGAGGATGCTGTCCAGGCTTCAGTCCATCTTGGACAATGTCTCACACCTCTCTATGACACACTGGCACGAGCAGAGAGCACCTTCCAGCAGAAGACTCCTCTCACCCAGATGCACCACAGAGCGCCACAGAAAGTCATTCTGCCTGTGGTCATTAAACTCTATAACGCCTCCCTCAGAGAGTCAGACACCCCCTCTCTGTAATCTGACCTCAAACACAGATAATAGGATAAAAGGTCTATGTGACTTTAAACTGTACATTTTATTTTTCAACCTTTATATTCTTAATATATTGTATGTCTGTTACGTCTGACTATTACATCTGGAGTATATGTAACAAAAGTAATTTCCCCTTGGGATTAATAGAGTATTTTTGATTCTGATTCTGATTCTGACCTGTTACATTGGTGTTTTTCTTCTTTCCTTTAATTATATTTGAACAGAGATAGAAACAGTACAATTCACCCCCAAATGTATTATTTACATTTGAAATAGTTTTGGCCCCCAAAAATAATAATAAAATGATTAAAACTTTTAGTCGATGTCCCCACAGTGCTGCGTGACATGGAAGAATACTGTTGTAAGCAATTTTGAATTTATTTTCCAGTCAAGAAAAGCGTCAATATACCAAGGAAAATTCCTTGTATGTGAAAACCTACTTGACATCAAACCGATTATGATTATGATTCTGATCTGTCAGTACATTCAGCTGATATTCAATAGTTCTACACCAACCTACTGTTTTCTACTGTGCACAGATTTTGATGCCATGCCTCCAATTTCTTCAATGACTGCTGATTTCTTATATTCTTATTTTTACGTACTTGTCTCTTTCTGCCCTTTCAGTTTTCAATCTGGTTGACGATAGATTTTGTCGTATTTGCACAAACACAATATTATATTATATACAATAATATTTTGTACATAGAGAACAAAACTCTGTAAAATAACCATACGACAAAATCTAAGTGCCATAACTGAAGTATTTTGTGCTTTTAGGTTGTAGAAAGTTCTTTTAACACATATATGTTATTTTGTATTATAGGTTTTCAAAAAGTGCCTTTGATTTTTTATAATCACTATGCAATTAAAATTTACTTCGTCCATAACAGGGTAGAAATGTCATTGTTTGCTCATACATTGTCTCCAAAGTCTATTTAATAAAATGAACAACTGACAGGGCAGAGAGATACAAGTAAGTACAAATAATAGCATAATAAATAAGCAGTCATAAAGGAAATTGGAGGCTTGGCATCTTGTAATTTATTTTAACTGAGAAATCATGTTTTATCTGTTGCTATAAAGAAGAATCCAGTCAGAGCTGCCAGTCAGAGCGGTAGCAAATTCAAAATGCTTTGTCATACATAAAAATTGTTGTTGATGAAACAACTCTTTTAAAAGACAAAGGAAAACTTTATTTCATCTCTCATGAAAACAGGCAAAACATTAAAGCTTGTCTTCAGCTCTTATCCTTGTCTCCTTTTCGTGTCTAATTGAATTAAAAGTAAGTAATACCAACAAGTTAGCAGCTGATACCAGTTCCACAATTTCTGATTGTCTCCAGGGAATTTCTGTATTCTGCTAAATGTTTATTTTCCTCATCTTGGATTACATTAATAAATTACTCTTATTTCCTTCTTGTTTGCAGGGCTTTTTTTTGCACTTGCAGTCACATGGTGAGCGTGTCTTAATTGTGATCTGTGCGACATGCAACAGATTTTTGTATTTGGTTGTGTTTTCTGCATTTTGATTTTGATTTTAAACTCTCAGGGCCACAGTACCTAAGACTGACTACAATCATTTAAAGTAGCTGAAATTGAGAATATTTCCGCTTTAAACATCTACTTATCATTAAGATAGCTAGAAGAAACAATTGTAAGATGAGATTTATTTTG